GTGAAGAATTATCCCCCTTTGTTTACTTGCTAGCAGACGACATTTTCAGTGATCCTCAGTATGGATGATTTAGAGAAGAGGAAATTGATTTTAGAGTATTATAACAAGGACATCAGATCAGCTAAAGTGATTTCAAGTAGAACAGGCATCCCTTTGTCCACTGTTTATCGTGTTTTGAAAAATATTGCAAATGGATATGGCATTGAGCACCAGGGAGGCGCAGGTAGGCCTAGAAAATTGACTGTCGGTGACAGGAGGCGGCTTGGTATTCTTGTTTCTAAAAACAAACGAAGAAGTTTAGAAAACTTAAGGCTGGATATGATTGATAGAGGAACTGTGGCTGTCTGTAAGGAGACAATTAGAACTGAGCTGCATGCAATGGGTTGGCAGAAAAGTCGAGGAATTCCATCACCAATCATGAAACCTGAACAAAAGGAGCAAAGGTTGAACTGGTGCTTACAGCATAGAAATTTTAACTGGGACAATGTAATTTTCTCAGATGAAAGTTCTGTGTGGCTGTTTTCTAATACACTGAAATTCTGGACCAAACAAACTGAAAAACCTTTGTATCAGCGCCCAAAGTACAGGCCGAAATTTAACGTGTGGGGTGGCATATCTGTGTTAGGGGCAACGCCCCTCTGTGTATTTGAAGGGAATATGAACAGTGAGCGGTACGGAGATATTCTCGAGGGACATTTACTTCCATCTGCTCACGTGTTCTATGGAAAGTTTTGGATTTTCCAGCAGGACAACGACCCAAAACATCGTTCAAAGCATTCACAGGCCTGGTTTCGGACCCAAAATATGACATTATTAGATTGGCCAAGCTATAGCCCTGACCTAAATCCAATAGAAAATGTTTGGGGACTTATGAAGGAAAGTGTCAATAAGAAAAATCTGACAAATATTGCTGAAATGAAAGAAGAGGTGGTCCGATATTGGGACAGCATGGACCACGACTTTCTAACTTCTTTGATCAGTAGTATGCCCCGCCGCATTGAAGCCTGCATTGCTGCCCATGGTGACTTGACAAAATACTAACTGTTCACCTGTCTTTGAATCTGGAGTTATGTTCTGCTAATATTCACATTTAATACGTGAGTAATGAGAGAAAAAAAAAAAAATTACAATCTTTAAATTCTCAATAATTTCTGGTTGTCCTGTATTTCGAATCGGGTACAAAACGAAACTTCTGGTGACAATTTAGGCCAGGTTATATTACAATATACGGATAGTCGAGGATATGTACTTTTGTACTAGGGTGTTTTTTAAAGCCCATGCAGAGGTTGTATCAGCTGATATAGTACACCTTGCCTCGACCCATTCAGGAAGCTACCCGGTGCTGTACAGACGGGTAATATCAACAGACAGACGCGTGGGCGGCATACCCGGAATAGACGTGGATTTGTGATCAGGCCACGTCGCCTGTGAATGGCATGATGTCCTTTCATTACATTGTGCAATCATTCGTCTTCTATGGAACTGTGAAGTCGTATTCCTCCACGGAGCTGTTTGATTGGCATTTTAGAATGCTTACATCGTGATCAGGCCACACCACGTGTGTGTGCATGCAACTGTGGCCAGTTTGAATCAGAACTCCCCCCTTTCATTTTCCCTACCCTCCACTCAATCTCCTTTTTAAATAGTGACATATTTCTTTAAGTTGTTGATGAGGTTTTTCATTTGAAAACCTCACTTTTTGTACAAACACACCATGCAGATCAGAGTGCTTCTTGTTGGCACTAGACAGTATAAACAAGAAAACAACAACAGTAAGTAGCTTAAAGGTATAAACAAAGCTGTGATTATGAGAGATAGATAGGATTCATGGAAACAGTTGATTATAAGTATCATTAAAATGAAGACAGTACAGAACAGTATATACAACTAGGTACCGGTGGAAACTGCGAGCTTACCCCTCCCCCCTCTATCTATTACTCTCTGTCCCTCCCCCTCACCTCCCAATTTCACACCTCTGGTTATCTGTCCTCCACAATACGTGACAAAAACACGTGTATGCCTGACCGGCAGTATTCATCGTATCTAGGTTGACAGTATATTACGATAACGCTAATCATGTCAGCATGTGTAAAGTGATTGATTATATATATAATTTATCAATTCTGAAATAGATGTGACACTCAGCAATCGCCCGTTACACCATACGACGGGAGGCCCAGGTATTCTTAGCGATAAACGGCGGTAAACAATGTCTCTTTTATCAGGTGATCCAATCTAGCGTCAGGTGGGTGACTGACAAGATGCCAATCAGCGATTGATCCTATGCTCGAATACATTAATTTTGCCTTAACATGACAAAAGATACACAACAAACGATACGGTGCTTGAGGCCATGATGATTATATCATCGATAAGAGAGCATTCAATGAAGTAGAAACACTTTGATATTGCTGTTTAAAACTGTATCATATTTTGATCCAATCCCAATACAAGTAACAACCTATCTTCTAACAACACATCTCCACCCCTTTACACCCCCAACCCACCAATACAAGTAACAAACCATCTCCACCCTTTACACCCCACCCCACCAATACAAGTAACAACCCATCTTCTAACAACCCATCTCCACCCCTTTACACCCCCACCCCACCAATACAAGTAACAACCCATCTTCTAACAACCCATCTCCACCCCATTACACCCCACCCCACCAATACAAGTAACAACCCGTCTTCTAACAAACCATCACCGCCCTTTACACCCCCACCCCACCAATACAAGTAACAACCCATCTTCTAACAACCCATCTCCACCCCCTTTACACCCCACCCCACCAATACAAGTAACAACCCATCTTCTAACAACCCATCTCCACCCCTTTACACCCCACCCCACCAATACAAGTAACAACCCATCTTCTAACAACCCATCTCCATTACACCCCCCACCCCACCAATACAAGTAACAACCCATCTTCTAACAACCCATCTCCCCCTTTACACCCCCACCCCACCAATACAAGTAACAACCCATCTTCTAACAACCCATCTCCACCCCTTTACACCCCCACCCCACCAATACAAGTAACAACCCATCTTCTAACATCCCATCTCCACCCCTTTACACCCCCACCCCACCAATACAAGTAACAACCCATCTTCTAACATCCCATCTCCACCCCTTTACACCCCACCCCACCAATACAAGTAACAACCCATCCCACCCCTTTACACCCCACCCCACCAATACAAGTAACAACCCATCTTCTAACAACCCTTCCACCCCTTTACACCCCACCCCACCAATACAAGTAACAACCCAACCCATCTTCTAACACCAATACAAGTAACAACCCATCTCCACCCTTTACACCCCCACCCCACCAATACAAGTAACAACCCATCTTCTAACATCCCATCTCCACCCTTTACACCCCCACCCCACCAATACAAGTAACAACCCATCTTCTACCCACCCCACCAATACAAGTAACGACCCATCTCCACCCCCCTTTACACCCCCCCACCCCCACCAATACAAGTACCCATCTCCAACCCATCTACAAGTAACCCATCTCCACCCCCCCCCCACCAATACAAGTAACAACCCATCTCCACCCTTTACACTTTACCCTTTAACACCCCCACCCCACCAATACAAGTAACAACCCCATCCCACCCCACCAATACAAGTAACAACCCATCTCCACCCCACCCCACCCCACCAATACAAGTAACAACCCATCTCCACCCCTTTACACCCCCACCCCACCAATACAAGTAACAACCCATCTCCACCCTTTACACCCCCACCCCACCAATACAAGTAACAACCCATCTCCACCCCTTTACACCCCCACCCCACCAATACAAGTAACAACCCATCTCCACCCCCACCCCTTTACACCCCACCCCACCAATACAAGTAACAACCCATCTCCACCCCTTTACACCCCCACCCCACCAATACAAGTAACAACCCATCTCCCCACCCCCTTTACACCCCCACCCCACCAATACACTTCTGGTCCCTATATGATCATAAAACTGTGAAGATCCAGATTAGAATTGGTTTTCAGCAAATCATATTTGTCTCAAGTGGCGACTAACGGGATGGGGTGGTCAGGCTCGCTGACTTGGTAGACACATGTCACCGGTTCCCAATTGCGTACATCGATGCTCATGATGTTGATCACTGGATTATCTGGTCCAGATTCGATTATCTATAGACCGCCGCCTCATGTCTGTAATATTGTTGAGTGCGGCGTTAAACAACAAACAAACAAATACAAAAATTACAATTTGTTTATATAAAATATATAGGACAGTGACATATTTCAGGTCAACAACTTGTGTAACAGTTTCGCGACCTTTGTTATTTGCTTTTATTTTCCATGACAACGCCCCTTGCCCCATTGTGGGGACTGTCCTCTAAATTGACCCCAATAACTCGCGTAACACGCAACATGGGGTTAGCAGATTCCTATATGGTTGTATTGTTTATAGCATTCCGTTGTTCTCAGAATCCCATTTTTGTAGTCGTTAAAATTCGTAACTTTAAACTACCGCAATCGTTCATACAAACAGCATACCATTTCACTAACTACCACAATAACTGTGGATGGACATTGCACGAATATATTGTAATTTTATGTCCCTGATTAGTCTCTCGTACAGACCCTGAAGCAAATATATCCAAGAAAGCCCACGCAAGTCTAGTAAATGTGGCAGGTCTCAGGGCTCCTTTTCATTATATATTTTATTTTTACTATGAACTTTGTTTTCAGTAAAATATGATCATTTCAGAGACAAGTTGTTAGTCTAGTCCCTGATCAGTTGTATTTAATATTAAACCAAACACTCTTAAACTCGCACAGGGTCTTAACATCAAATTGCCAGCCCGTAGATTTTCTAACCATATCTGGGTTTTTAAAAATCATTGAACAGCGTGCGTGAGATCAGCATCAGATCACGCGTAATAGTGAAAGGGAGGCAATTATGCAAGGAGTTACCTCCCATTTGATAACTCTCCTAGAAGAAGGCTACTAAGTGAATGTGTCACGTTACGACGAAGGAAAATCTATACGAAAGGGATTTAGTTGTTTTATTGTGATTTGCTTCGTGATGGGATTCACAGTGATTGGTTAATCTGTTAACCAAGAAAGCTACTCACGATACATGGTCGACTGGTATGATGGTATCGGCTGATAACCTGTAACTTTTGTTGTAAACAACGTTGTTTTTATTTTTGTACTTCCTTGCCGAAGAAGGAAATTGCCTTTTTGACGACCGTGTGCATTTGATACCGCTTTTACACCTCAAGATGCCTCCCAAGTTTGCCAGAATACCAGACAGTTCGGACCTCAGATCAGCCCATGACGTTGAACGGGTACATGCTACACTGTTTGAGTGTTTTGGTGTTATGGTGTTCACGTGTGCTAATCCTGGGAAAACATGTATCCCCTAAACATATTTTGTTTTCGTTTCATTGGTATGGTTCAGTTGTGTATGTAGTAAAATGTATTTTAGGGGTGCAGAGTAACATGGTACTGTTAGCAAACAATGTTGACTTTGCGAACTTGTGACTAACCCATTGCTTGCATGTTTAACACTATATAACAGCCTATAAGGAAGTATTGTAAAGAACTAGGTTTCCCCTGGTACTAATAGTCAAAACATCTGTGCACAAACTCCACTTTTGTCCTCCGGAGAGTGCTAGTACTGCTACTAGCTTTCAACAATGATAATTTTGTGCAGTTTAACCTGGTTGTGTATTATTCAGAAGACATATATACAGTTATTAGTGCTGCTCTTCATTAACCACACAGAAACCTGATAACCATGGTTACCAAGACATAATCCTGACTAACAATGTATATTTGTGATGCACTTTAATGTTAATTAAAAATTTACATAAGCATGGTAAACATGTTAAATGCCTGAAGCGCAGTTATATATCCTTATGGACTGTAAAAAGTCTGTCTTACAGACCCTGAAACAAATATACCCAGTGCAGTCAATGAGGCAAGCTTCTATTACCACGTGTTTCACTGTCTGTCCAAATCTGCAGAATTCTGAAAATGATGACAGTCACTGGACTTCTTTATGTTGTTTTGTAAACATAATTAAGAAACATTTTTTCTGTAGAATATGTTCATTTCATTTCATAGACTAGATGTTAGTCTATGACTGTTACATCTACAGTATTTAAGTCAACTGCAACTTGGGCATTTGATTGTAGCAGATGGTTACCTTATCTGTCCGTTCTTAATCCTGTGAGCTTAATGATATACCAAAGGTACAGATAATCTGCATATCTGCTTACATTACGCAAATATTTATGTGAAAACTCAATTCCTATTAAGTCTGTTGTGTACAGTACACTTGAATTTTTGTAAATACTCAATAAATGTGATCTTACATGCATACACACAAAATGTCAAATCTTAGCTTGCGTACCTGTGTATAGATAAAATAACTGAGGTATATTGAGAGGTTTTATTTCAGGACATTAACTTGACAACTTGCAGTCTTTCTTATTGTTTCTCATATTACAGATCAAATATAAATAACAAACAATAACATTTAACCTTTATTATATTTTTAAAATTAATGGAACATGGCAAAATACCCATTTGAGTTTGAGTGAGGTGAGTACAAATTATTTGGTTACTCAAAGGAAACTTAGGATACCCAATTGAGATGAAGACAAGGGAGTACATAACTCAATGACCCAAAAAGTTATCTGTAGCTCTGTATATACAAGTCATTCAGTTTTCATAAATGTTGTTTAATCTATTTGCACACTTGATGGTTCCCAAGAAACATATACAACTTTTCATCTCCTGCCTTCATACAGACTAAGTTCTCAATTGATGTTACAAACATTATTTGTTTTCTGGGAGCAAATAAACTCACTCATGTATACAGACAGGCAATTATTCATTATTTGTTTTCTGGGAGCAAATAAATGTATCAAACAGCAGCATATTCTACTGCTGTAAAGTTTGTGATGCTAGAAATGACATAACTATTGACTTTCTGTCCCAAATTAACTGAAAACCTGCCTATTTCAGGCTTTCCTGCAAAGTGAACATAAGCTCATACTGTCAAGTTCCACCAACAGTGATAATTATTTACATTTACAATACAGTTTTACAAGATATTGTATAATAATATATAATAATACAGACAAGTGAAGTTTAATGGTTAAAGAAACTATATACTTAGTTATGTACTTAGAGTAGTAGTTTCCATATGGCAGATGATTTTAGTGTTATTGTCCAGAGGCCCAGATAAGCTGCGTATCTGGGTAAAATACGCATAGAAAATGTCCAATTACGCATTGAAAAAATAATTGTTGTGTACCAATTCAAACATTTAAAATGTTAGATACGCATAAAAGTTTTCAAACAAATGCGTACGGAATATATTTATAAAAATCGCTTGCGTAATGAAAAAGACATCGATTGCTATCAAGTTGTATTGTTAGTATAGGACAAGTGTTGTACTGTCAGTATAGGATGAGTGATTTTTTATGAAATCATTTCCATTATCTTTAAGTTGGTTTTGATTAGGTATGACATTAGTCAGAACATACCTGCTTAGTAAACTTACCAAATGACTTAATACTTAGGTGAGTAAAATGACTGAAATATGCACATATTTGAAAGCAGTGGGTAACGGAAAATGAAATACCCACTCAACATTCATAATACCCACTCCAAACAAAATACAGTTGGTACAGTACCCACATGAGCTAAATCTTATCTGGAGCTCTGATTGTCTGTGTGAAGTGATGAATATCATCATGGTCATTGTCAGTTGAATAATGCCACATGAAACTACTTCATTATGAAACATGTAACCATGGTAACCAACCATTAGCAGATGGAAGTAGTGTATATTTTGACACAAAAACATATTCCGATTGTTATGATTGGAAGGACATAAACTTGATTAAATGAAAAGGACTTTTCATCCTTCTTTCACACTTTTCTGTTACATGACATGATATGATGTATATCATCAGTTTATGTTGTATGATACAGTGTTATATAACCCTTCATGTCAGCATGACATTGTCATGATTGTACAGCTTGTATCGCGTAATACAAATCCTTTGTTGGTATTTTCAGCAAGGACTGCTCGATGGCGACGATTCTGATGAAGACTTCTTTCTCAGGTATTGTTTCTTATGTTTTCTTCAATGGTATCTAGGGGTGATGGGGTAGAGAAATGGTTAAAACATTCGCCCATCACGCCAGACACTCAGGCTGGTTTCCCCACATGTGGACAATATCTCAAGCCCATTGTGGTGTCTCCTGCCATGATGTTGCTGTAATATTTCTAAAAGTGGCATAAAACCTCACTCACTCACTCTATGGTATCAAGCATGTGGGACTCAAGCCTAAATACAGAAATTATACAACAGTGCTAGAACAAGGGCACCATTTATAGAACAATCTTTCCCCAGTGACTGTTGTACTCATACTTTAAACAGACATTAAAACTTGTTAACATGGACACGATGAAAGCACTGGGATTGCTTGGTAAAACATGACTGAGGGTTAACCAATATTGTCAGGGTTACTGAGACTAGGGAGCTCCTGAAAGGCAGATATTAGGGCCTACGTTGGCAGCTAACTTTCAGTTTTGTTAGTTTGTTGTTAGACATGTTTAATGTAGTGGTGTTCCGATTAATTGAAATAATCGAAGATTGGTCGCAGTGGCCAAACGACCAAGCAATCGATCCCATTTTCTCATAATCGAACACAAACGATTTTGGAACCGCTGTAATAGAGTTTGAAATACTTGATGATGGAACATATCTAGGACGTTGTCAAGGCCTGAAAACGTGTTTAATTCTTAGAAAACTCACCTCACTTTCTGAAAAGTCATGACTGAATTGAAGTATCTTGGAAGTTTATGTTACACTGGAACTGAATCATTTTCCACTGCATGTGAAATTTGCAGATGTAATTTGTGCAGTTTCTAAATAAGCAAAAACACAACAGAGAACCAAATAATTTTTCTTTATACTTATCTGCAACTACAACCTGAATAGGAAAATCTAAAATATGACGCTAACCAATTTTTGTTGATGATTGGTCATTGCTATTGAACCAATCATCAATTGTGAGATTTCAACCCATTCCCAGCACTAGTTTAATGCCATGGTCGGCAATATTCCAGCTATGTGACAATAAGCTGTAAATGTACAACTCTGAGATAATCAATCCGGTGATTAATATTATGAGCAGCGAACCATACTCTGAGTGTATGATGCCATAATCAGCTATGTCTAACTATCCATTCCATTTGATGGCCTCATGTGACTTGCTCAAACCTGGAACCACCACAGAGTGTGTAGGATGGTGGGTGTATCTCAGATACTGTGGACTGTGGCATCAATTATACACTGACTCACGGCGCTATCTTAGCATTATAACTTTACATCTTTCTTTCTTTAACAAAGTGTAACTACAGTCAATACTTACAGTGATAAGATTACTGTATTGATTATGTCTGTGACATTTATCTTCCCAGAGGCTGTATCTCATTGTTTTATATTCTGATGTGGTATGAATTTCCAAATAATAATTCTTTGTATCAGCAACCAGTCACATCTGCAGCTAGACCGCCTCCTTGGTGTAGTGGCTAGAGCGTCCGCCCGGAGAGCAGAAGGTTGCGATTCGATCCCCGACCGCGTCATACCAAAAGACGTTAAAATATGGTACTTTATGGTCCCTGCCTGGCGTTAGGCATTAATTGGTACAACAAGGACTGGTCAGCTCGGAGTCAGTATAATGTGTCTGAGTGGGGTATTCATGCTTCACTGCGGCATGGTATCTCAGTGGGCTAGCACTATAAAACCAGCTTAAGTCTGGGCTAGTACAAGCAGCCACACATACATACACACGCATGCACGTCGTCATATGAGCGAAATATTCTCAAGCACGACGTTTAACCCAATTTCACCTCACCTCACCTCACATCTGCAGCCAGCCAGCTATGCAGATGGACATTTTTGCAGTGTCATTCATTGATATCATTGTTATTGTTTTCATTCCTCAGGGGTCCCTCAGTGTGGACAAACAATCTCAGATCAGACCCGAAAGTATCTAGGTAAGTATATTGAGCAAGGTTTAGCAGGTTAGTCGTGTGCTTCATGAGAAATAATTTGATCATGTTTACCTGAAGTTTTTTCCATTTATGATTGTAGATGTACAAGGTTTTACAGCCTGGTATATATTGAACAATGTTGTACATCTTGGTTTTATATTGTACAATGCTGTACTTCCTGGTATATATTGTACAATGTTGTACAGTCTGGTTATATATTGTACAATGTTGTACAGCCTAATATATATTGTACAGTGTTGTACAGCCTGGTATATATTGTACAATGTTGTACAGCCTGGTATATATTGTACAATGTTCTACAGCCTGGTATATTTTGTTCAGTGTTGTAGACGACCGCCTCCATGGTGTAGTGGTTAGAATGTCCGCCCGGAGAGCAGAAGGTCTCTGGTTCAATCCACGACCGCGTCATACCAAAAGACGTTAAAATATGGTACTTGTTGGTCCCTGCCTGGCGCTCGGCATTAATGGGTACAACAAGGACTGGTCGGCTTGGAGTCAGTATAATGTGTCTGAGTGGGGTATTCATGCTTCACTGCGGCATGGTATCTCAGTGGGCTAGCACTATAAAGCCAGCTTAAGTCTGGGCTAGTACAAGCAGCCGCACATACACATACACACTCATGCACGTCGTCATATGAGCGAAATATTCTCAAGCATGACGTTAAACCGAATTTCACCTCACCTCAATGTTGTAGACCCAGGTAATATCAGGTATATGTTGTACAGTGTTGTACAGCCTAGTTTCATATTGTGCAATGTTATAGAGCCTGGTACATGTACAATGTTTTACAGCCTGGTCATATACTGTACAGTTTTATACAGCCAGTTTTTGTATTGTACAATGTTGTACAGCCTATTTTTATGTTGTACAGTGTTGCACAGCCTGGTATCTATTGTACAGTGTTGTACAGCCTGGTATCTATTGTACAGTGTTGTACAGCCTATATTTATGTTGTACAGTGTTGTACAGCCTGGTATCTATTGTACAGTGTTGTACAGCCTGGTATATATTGTACAGTGTTGTACAGCCTGGTATATATTGTACAGTGTTGTACAGCCTGGTATCTATTGTACAGTGTTGTACAGCCTGGTATATATTGTACAGTGTTGTACAGCCTGGTATATATTGTACAGTGTTGTACAGCCTGGTATATATTATACAATGTATGTACAGTGTTGTACAGCCTGGTATATATTGTACAGTGTTGTACATCCTGGTATATATTGTACAGTGTTGTACAGCCTGGTATATATTGTACAGTGTTGTACAGCCTATTTTTATGTTGTACAGTGTTGTACAGCCTGGTATCTATTGTACAGTGTTGTACAGCCTGGTATATATTGTACAATGTTGTACAGCCTGGTATATATTGTACAATGTTGTACAGCCTGGTATATATTGTACAATGTTGTACAGCCTGGTATATATTGTACAATGTTGTACAGCCTGGTATATATATATTGTATTGTACAATGTTGTACAATGCCTGCCTGGTATATATTGTACAATGTTGTACAGCCTGGTATATATATTGTTGCAGACTGCAGAACCAGGTGGATGATGTGGTGGATGTCATGAAGAACAATGTCAGCAAGGTTCTGGACCGTGGCGAGCGTCTCGATGACCTGCAGGATAAATCAGGTACGGATCTGTCAGCAGATTACAGGATAAATCAGGTACGGATCTGTCAGCAGATTACAGGATAAATCAGGTACGGATCTGTCAGCAGATTACAGGATAAATCAGGTATGGATCTGTCAGCAGATTACACTGCTTATTGTTATGACATGGTTACACAGATTCTACAACACCCATGACGTTGCAGTGTTGTTGCTATGACGTGTATAATAACCAAGAAATCAAACCAACGTCTGGTTCCAATAAGAAGGAAGTCATGGATAACTTTGACCAACAAACCCTCAGGTTACCATGGTTACATTACAGTCTCAGGTACTCATTGGTTCACTCAAGATCCATCTACCCACTCACCTACAAACTCACTTTCTTACTGTTATTAACCCATGAAGGTCCAGGTTAGAATGAACCTTCAGTAATCCATGCTTGTCGTAAGAGGCGACTAACGGGATCGGGTGGTCAGGCTCGCTGGCTTGGTTTACACATGTTTTCGGTTCCCAATTGTGCAGATTGATGCTCATGCTGTTGATCACTGGATTGTCTGGTCCAGATTCGATTATTTACAGACCGCCGCCCTATAGCTGGAATATTGCTGAGTGCGGCGTAAAACTAAACTCACTCACTCACTTACTGTTATTAAGGAACCCCAAAATGTGTTGCTAGAATTGAACTTAGTAAGAAAACTCTGACCATGCAGGTATGCCAAGTTTGTTGATGATGACAATCAACAATCAATTGATTGTTTATTTACAACCTGCCATCATATATCTGAGATGTTTCTAAGTGTGGCATTGAACAACTAGCAAGCAAACATTGACAGGTTAGCTGTAGCATTCAGGATCATTTGTGCAAGATTGTTTCACAACGCTAGACATGTCTTGAGAAACGTGCGGGCGAACAGACATTTACTTCCCCTTTCTGATTACAGACAGCCTTGCCAGCAACTCGGACATGTTCGATCCAGAGCCAAGACATTTACTTCCATGTGGTGGAAGAACTTTCTGATTACAGACAGCCTTGCCAGATAACTCGGACATGTTCCACGATCCTGGATGATCCCAAGGGTCTGCAGAGATCCATGTGGTGGAAGAACTGTCGGGTGAGTGATGTAGGGTACATTCCAGCTTCTGCATCTTAAATTGCTGCATGTACTTGGCAATACATTGATGTATTAAGATGCATAAAACATAGGTGTAACATGAGTGGAGAACAAACATTCAAGGTGCAGTACTGTGTGAATCATGAGTTTGAATACTGTTTTCTGATATTCCAGATGAGAGATAATCTTAGCATATCTGGAGATTATCGAGGATGGCATGTATCGTGGTTGTGCTGGCTGTCATCATAAGTAAGTAGCATGAGGTCCAAACTCTGGACAGGTAGATAATTCTTGTGATGGGTTAGCTGTCACATCTTAGGTCCAAACCTGACAGGGGATGTCTGGTTACAGAAGTACTTGTACCCATACTTGTACCAGGTGATGATGTCAGTTACAGTATTCACCCAGTACCCAGTACTTGTACCAAGTGATGATGTCAGTTACAGTATTCACCCAGTACCCAGTACTTGTACCAAGTGATGATGCTAGTTACAGTATTCACCCAGTACCCAGTACTTGTACCAAGTGATGATGTCAGTTACAGTATTCACCCAGTACCCAGTACTTGTACCAAGTGATGATGTCAGTTACAGTATTCACCCAGTACCCAGTATTTGTACCAAGTGATGATGTCAGTTACAGTATTCACGCAGTACCCAGTACTTGTAACAAGTGATGATGTCAGTTTAGTATTCACCCAGTACCCAGTACTTGTACCAAGTGATGATGTCAGTTACAGTATTCACCCAGTACCCAGTACTTGTACCAAGTGATGATGTCAGTTACAGTATTCACCCAGTACCCAGTACTTGTACCAAGTGATGATGTCAGTTACAGTATTCACCCAGTACTTGTACCAAGTGATGATGTCAGTTACAGTATTCACCCAGTACCCAGTACCCAGTACTTGTACCAATTGATGATGTCAGTTACAGTATCCACCCAGTACTTGTACCAAGTGATGATGTCAGTTACAGTATTCACCCAGTACCCAGTACTTGTACCAAGTGATGATGTCAATTACAGTATTCACCCAGTACCCAGTACTTGTACCAAGTGATGATGTCAGTTACAGTATTCACCCAGTACCCAGTACTTGTACCAAGTGATGATGTCAGTTAAACTATTCACCCAGTACCCAGTACTTGTACCAAGTGATGATGTCAGTTACAGTATTCACCCAGTACTTGTACCAAGTGATGATGTCAGTTACAGTATTCACCCAGTACCCAGTACTTGTACCAAGTGATGATGTCAGTTAACACTATTATTTTAAACAAAGCTCAAGTGCTGAAAATGACCTTACAAAATAGGCTTCATCGAAAATGGCGACATTTTTGACACAGTATGAAATCGCGATTCACAGCGTTATTTGCTGTATGTTTTGCAATGTGAAAATCGGATAATTACTGTGAGTATTGAATTTCAAAAATAACATATTTATGATCACTGATATCAGTTTTACATGATTTCGCTTAATTATAATTCTGAAGCGTTGCCGATGAATCTAGAATCGCTGGGATGTTTTCGAAAATGCACTTACACGAACACCGTGAGTGGCTTTCGCCATATTGGATAGTGTTTACAAAATCGTTTCGCGAAGGCCGGTATTGAGGCGCCTATTACATCCATGTATATTTCATATTCAGCTTGAAAAATGCATCACTAAATTCCCCATACATTTTAGAATCAATTTGAAACTGGTCTGTGTCACCAATAATAACTGTCTAGATAAAATGAGGCCGAAACATATTGGGTGTGAAAAGCGAGGCGGCTGTGCTTGAAAGACTGCGTTTGTGTGAAATGTAAACAAAGACAAATTCGATTTTACACTGCGGCATTTTCTGAATTTTTCAACATTCATCCGTCTATTCATTGCTTTGCAATGAAACCAATACCTTTAGAATATATACATGGAAAGAGTATGCGTAGCAAGAAATAGGAAATTATAAATAGATACAATGCAATGATTTGATAATTCATAAGAAATTGTCAAAGTTTCGTTGCAGCGTGGCGCCATGACTGGCAGCCAAATCCATGAGGCGCGACAAGCGGTAATTATCTGCATTTCTGTCCTTTTCTCTTTACGTATAGTGAAAGCTTGATAAAACATATAACAATACACAGATAGTCAGAATCATTCTGATTACTTACATCTCATATTTATGTACAAGCGATCCCTGAATCAGTGGAAGGGTCCTCGCAAAATCCTGTGTACCCTTGTCAGCAAAGCCGCCATTTTGTAAGAAATGGGTCAGCGTGTAGTGATGTCATCGTCAACATTGTTGTACATATTAGGCAATTTCTTTGAGGTGAAGGTCGGTTGAACAAGAGTAAACACAATCGCCATATCCTTCCGATTACACTGTCAGTATTATGATGTATATTTTGCGGATAGTTCGGATACTTTTCAGGAAACTGACTTCAGTATCTACATTTAGCCTTGTTCAATATCATATCATACATGCATATAGGGTTCTGGTGTTTTATTCTTTGAAAGTTTTGATTGTTTGAATCATATTTACATAAGAAATTGACATATTTATTGCAATACACCATATTTTAAACCTTTACACAAGTGTTAGAAGATCAAACGTAGCCATAACTGCAATTACTTTAGTTCCTATGATGTACAATATTCAATTTATTTGGACTAATATTGCAATTTCATATGAACAGGTTAATGAACGGTGATATAATTCAACCTTATATGCAAAACTGATAATATTCATGACAATGATTTATATATGGTATGAAATGTACATGCACACATATATGAAATGTACATGCACACATATTTAAAGGAATTGTCTTGTTCATTGCATAATTTTGTGTCGTTTTATAGACAAAAGAATGATGCATATTCATCGGCAAGGTGCGCGTTTGTTGGAAACGTTTTATGATTCTCTATCATTGTTTTCGATAATATATTCAATTCATATTCGATTAAATAATATTGTGAAGACAGGATATCAAACTCTAACTACTTATAGGAAAATTGTTGAAAAATATATATACCATCTCATGTGTTAATTGGGACAAATCTTATATCCATATTCTAATATATAGTTCCATATATAAAAGCTATCTTTATGCATCTTTCATTGCATCACATTGAAGAGAAATAGCTTCATAATCATAAACAAACAAAATTCTTATCCCAAACAAAATATTCGGGTGTTGTGAAATATTATTTCTATTTCACGTTAAATTGATGCCAAACAGGTGCGTGTTGGTCACAATAAGATACGCTGTCAAACTGTCTAATTGTTGATATATTCAGGACACTATTTAAATGGAAAAATCAGTCATTTTATGTTTTGTCTAAAGAGTGTTAAATTCTGACATAGAAGTCTAGACCTTTTATACAATGAATGGAAATTAAGTGAGATATATGCTAATCAGCATACCAGTGTCGTCGTTTTCCAACGTCATAAAATGCATAAAACAAGCGATGGCGTCAACTAAAATGTGGTATTATTTTCAGCAATTTACGTTACATTTGAAGATATGGCTAGTACTCTGGTAATAACGATGCAAAATTAGTCAAATTACATCTACACAAACAGGAGAATATGGGAATCTAAGAACTAACTTATATATCGGATAGGGCCATCCAAATGGCTATATCACGTGCTTTCACATGTAATACGTTGTCATCTTTTCTTATAAATTGTGAAACTACCAAAGAGCATCCGTTCACATTGGGGAACTTTGAATTGGAATAGTGAGGTTCACCATGAATATAAAATAACGAAAATATAGCGTCCGTATCCACAACACATTTTCTCCAAGTGATCTGAGTTACATTGACCTAGTGTTACGCATAACGGAGTTATGCCCCCTTATCATTATACGTTTATGACCTCTCTGTCGTCGTTTGACGTCATAGAAGAAAATACATATTTTTCCTTATCCTGACTCATGCTCTTTTTGCTTGTCTTCTTCTTCTTGCGAACATAGTGGAACACTTGTATCTCCCTAATTGAAGCTCCCTTCAATTTAAAATCACTAATTAGTATTCACCACGAGTTACCTCCTTTCCACAAAGCCAGCGAGGGCGAGGCCCACCCTACCCATGTGCCTCACTCTCTCCTTCTTAGCCCAGTGAGCTGATGAGCGCCTGTGTCTCCGACACACTATATCCTTTGATTTATATTTAGTTAGTTACCTCGCAATATAGACATCTATAGAGGTTTAGCTAGTATCCTTCAACGATTATATATTGATATTTAATTTCGTTTTTCTACAGTTTATTCCACGGGGGACGTGTTTGTTTCAGTGGATTACGTTGATGAAAATTCTGTACTATTGCAGATTACGTTTTTATGCTGCTGCTGATCCATGCTTTAATATGATGTGCGGCGGCCATGTTTATTATATTCACACTGCAGTTGCGGTACTAATTTATCCAATTCTACCTTTTATTAATATTTACTTTGGCGTTTGGCACGCACAAGCAGATAGGTCAGCGTATGCAGAGTCTAGTATGACTGATACACGGAACCCTAGCCAGTCTACTGCTGTTGGCCGACTCCCCTCCGTGTGGTGTTCCGCTAGAGTGGTGGAGAGGTGTGGGGCGTGATCCGCCATCTCAAGAAGCATCCTGCTTCCCCAGACATCCCATCGTCGCAGCAGAAGACTAGAGGTTTTTCTACTACATCTCAACAACCGGGACCGTTCCCATCGAAGTTTTGGGCCTGTATGATGATCAGCCGGTCATCATACGGTTGTACATCAAAGATTGACCGATGTCGGCACAGATCAGCATGCAGCCTGATGTACCAGCGCAGATATCGAATGATCGTCCTGAGGGTCCCATCATTACCAACACTCAGCGCCAGGCGTCGCGCACCCAGGGCAGCGTCGACCTCTGAGGGAAAATCGAAGTCTACTAGGACTTTCTCAACCGAGATTGTTCCAACCGATGACCTGGACCTCTCACGATGATCAGCTGATCATCATCCCCGGCATCGCAACACAAGAAGCGACCGGTGGCAGCTACAACGACATCAGCAGAGATCACCATGCAGCCTGATGCCTCTACACTGATGTCGGACGATTTTCCGGTGGACCTCCATTAACACCACCGCAGATAAAGCACCGGCGACCTCGTCGCAGACCATCCCAGAAGACATGATGCGACAAATTATGAACATCATGGAGGACCAATATCTCGCGGTAGCAGGGTCCGAACAGCCAGCGAAGGCTCCAGCGTGAACAACACCCCAGAGGCACCCCCGTCAGCG